AAAGTAACGAATGAAATAAGTAATGGGCGGTTCAACTATGGCCTCCTGTAGCGATGCGCAGGCAATCATTGAAGACCAATGACTCCCAACATTTCAATCAACTTGCTCTCTATTGCCTAGACACTTTTTCCTTTAATCTTTAATTTTATTTAACTATATAAACCCTTTTAAGTTCAATTTTTAGCCATTTATACCCAATACCTTATATTTATGGGAAGTAAAAGTTGTTAGTTTTACAATGAATAAAAGCATATTTGTTTTGTGGAAATCTGTGATGTAATAATATAAGGGCTTAACCCCCTTTAGTTAACCAAAAAACACATTGAATGACAGAATTAGGCTGACTAGCTAAACCAATGCAAGGTAAAATCAAATGCTGTATAAAGATGATTCTTCCGACACTGAAACACTCCAGTATCTATTCTTCAACCATAGGGAATCAGTTTCCACGGCATAACCGTCTTGATTTTCGATGCCAGCCAAAATAAGCATGGGTCCTGTTCTTTATATCCAATATTCCATGGCCAAAACTGGCTTCACGATAAGCCGAGTAGCTCGGTTGTGGCTCCGTCATCCTGTCCAATTACACCAACGCTTATAAATGATGACAATCACAAAAAGATTTTTTATTCAAGGTGACAAATCTCAAGCCAGATTGCATACTCTGTCACTAATCCTTCCAGATTTCCTCCATCTCCAATGGTTATGTATACTGGAGCAGATGGATCCTTTATGGGAGTGCACAATCCATTAACAACGTTATACGCAATGTTTGATATGCGTTCCTGAAGTGTAAAAGATCAAATCAAAGCAATGTGTCACATATTGTTATTGAACCATGGATTGTGTTTAACCGTAATAGCTTGCCAAGTTACTTTTACAAGTAAAATTATTGATTAAAGGCTGTGTAACTTACGGATCTTTCATAGGCATGGACGTGTCCGGCAAAAACAACATCAACCTTGTACTCGACAAACCATGGCTCGTACATTATTCTCATGGACTCCCCCTCCATAAAATGATGTACGTAACTGCTGTAAAAAGGACAATGCATAAGAACAATGAGCCATGGTGTTTCTGTTCTGTTCACTTTTGGGAACTCCTTTTCAAGCCATTTGTATTGAGGTGTATATTTTCCTGCAATAAACGTTTTCAGTAAATTATTGAGATATTTCCTGATACCTTCCTCTGCTACAGCATACAAACAATTCAAACTGCATAAGTAAAATTAAGGCTGCTCGGTACAACTTGGTTGTTTTACAAGGAATAAGAGGAAGCAAACAATCAGCTCACCTTTTCTCATGAAATTCATTTCACTAAAATAATAAGATGAATCACCATATGTTCTAGTGAAAACTGTTCAAACATTGAATGGAATATGCTCATCATATAATTATTTGCAGGTCTATAAAGTTTCAGAGGCATAAATAATGAGGATTTACTACCAAATGAGCCCCAAATGGACGTAGTGGCAAAGAGATCTAAACCTAAGTCAACAGCGCTAGATTGCTAGCCATATTTGACAACCCACATGTAAGTTAAATGCTAAGTTCATTACCATAAGCCGAATAAGAAGACAAGACAATGATATATGCTGAAGCTCTCTTGATGGAGTACCAGAAAGGAGATGCACTCCCTGATGCTCTAAATGGTACATGATAACGGTGTACATATGGCTTGAAAGGTGTATCTTCCCCCTGAAATAAAATTTTCAATGCTTAATAACTTCACTTCTGCTCATCATGGCTGTAGGTGAAGACGACATTAATTGAATGATCAAGGAAAAGAACTCTAATTAACCAGTTTCATGCATTGAGTCATAAGGGGAAAAACAAAGAGGAAATGCAGAAATGTGCCTACTATTTCAGGAACAAAATCGATTTCGTGGTTTCCGGCAGTCCATATCCAAGGTTGATACGCAGTGTTTCGCTCAATAAACCTTCCCCAAGTATCCCATCTCGTGTTGTCATGACATGGGTAGGCATCTGCATAGGATAGGTCTCCCACAAATAATAGTGTCTGTCCTTGTGAAGGGTTTAACTCATAATGGGTAACTGTACTATTTGAATCGTGAGTTTGCCCCAGATCACCTGCTCAAATGCTAATCGTTGTAAGACCAGAATACAATTGGAACTAGTTACTTTATGGCTCAAGTCCTTCCTACGAAATCATTAACAATACCTATGAGACCAAAAGTGTATGGTACATCAGGGCCAACTGCAGGGGGAGTTACAAACCAGAATCGTCTCGACGACTTTCCGATCCCGACCTCATAATAATACTTGGTATCAAACTGCAAAGGTAATGAAATTAAGTACATCGGATGTAGAATCTAATATATTTTCATGTCATATACTCCATATAATGAAAAGAATGTCTGCAAAATTAAGTTAGCCTGCATAAACAAGCCACAAGCAGCACAAACCTCCAAATCCCTGATGGTGCAATGGTGAATGTAACCAGAAGTGTAATTGAAGTACTTGTAAGTAAGAACAATGCCTTCTGCACTATTTTTGAGTTTACTGTTTTCAGCCCAGTAACGGACTGAATTTGAACCAGGTTCATCTGGAGTAACCCAGGAGACGATCACAGCCTTCCCCAGATGGTCCCCTTGTGTTATATGAACCTTCAGTTACATCATCAAACAATAGGTCATAAAATAGCATTAACCCGAGTAAAGCAAGAGATGGATCGTTTCTAAAACTAATCAAACCACATCAATGATTATTCAGAAATGAGTAGGGAATAGAACCACACACAAAAACACACCTGTTGGGGAGCATTGTAACCTGGGGGCACCCGGAACACATCGCTGTTCAATGGCATATCATGAGACAGTTGATCATTCCTCACGAAACTGCTTGTTCTTCCACCATTGCAAACCTCAGCTATACTTAAAATAAAGCTCACCGCATAAACCAAGGCGAAACTAAAACAATCCCACCTCACAGCAACCATCTCTGGTTCCAAATCAGTTTCACCAGAAACAACAAAAAGACTCACAGACACAGAGGAAAACGGAAGAACCTCCCGCGGTTTTAGTATGGCGGCCAGGGGAATATTCAAAGGAAGATACCTATCCGTGCACCAGCTTTGCACAGACTTCAATTTTTTTTATGACGAAAGAGACTGACAGTTGTTTCGTTAATAGTTTCGTATAAAACATGAATGCTTGTATCACTTGCATAGGCATAGCCGACAGAAAGGGATTTGACACTTTTTCGGTCAGTTTCGTACTTTAAACGAAAGGATTAGACCGTTCGGTAGGTGGAAGGCATCCAATTAAATTCGTTCAAAATGGAATATCCATTCTTTGGGACCGAATATCTTGGTTATTTGCGTACACAGTTACTTATCTCGAGTACAGATTTATCTCAATCAGCCATACGCCCATACCCATATAGAGCCCAGTTTCATTCGGGTATTGTAGTTTTAATCAGGGGTAAATGAATAGAAGTTACCCTTTACCAAGTTATTCGTGAATTGTTCATGTTTTATTTACGCTCAATTATTAAATTAAATAAATATCAATAAAATTTTTCATATTCGTTTAATAATTAAACTAATACGAATATATGTATGTTCGATTCGTTTATGTTTACAAACAAATTCATTTATCTGGTTCTTGTTTTACTTTTATTTTTTTGGCAAAAAGGCATCAAATGTCCTTTTATTTTTGAAAAAAAAATCAATGTGTTCATCGTATTATTTTTTCTCTCAATGTGGCTCTCTAACTCAGAAAATAAACTCAATAAGGTCATTTGACCAACATTTCTGTCGTTGACCGTTACGGTATTGGCATGACAGTTCACGATGCTAACGTGACAATTCATATGACATGTTTGAGTTACTGATTTAGTCAATTTATCATATCATTTGCCACGTTAATATGTCAGCATTATGGACTGTCACGTCAGAATCAAGAAATGTCACATCAGCACAGTACATGTCAAATATGAAAAACGTTGGTTAAAGGGACATATTTGATTTATTTTCTGAGTTGAAGGGCCGCATTAGAGTTTTCCTCCCCAAAAATACAAAGACCTCTTATACTTTTTTGTCTTATTTTATTTATATTTTAAATATCGATAAAGGTATAGACTAGTGGCATACTTTTACAATTTAGTTGATTTTATTTTAATTAATTTTTTGTTTGTTTAGTTAATATTTCAGAATATATAAATGAACATGTTTGTAAACGTTAAACGAATATGTTGACCAACGTTAGACAAACACGTTAACAAACATTAAATGAACATGCTCAATTAAACTAGGAGTCTAGCATATTTGTGAATATTAAATGAACCGAACACGAACACCATAAAAAATAAAAAAATAAAGACAAATAAGATATTAAAATTTAAACGAATATAAATTAAACATTATTTTTTTTTAAAATAAACAAATGAATACAAACGTTTAAACGATCCATTTACATCCCTAGTTCTAGGAGCATAGGCAAGATTCCCCAAACCAGTTCGGAGTACCCTAAATCTCATGGTAAACCCCAAATTAGCCCTACTGCCGAAAGTAGTTGACCCATATTGGATCTGCTAGCGTTGCCCATTGAATCTAAAAGATGTGCTTTTGTGACCAGGAATTGCTTTTTTTATCTATATTTTGTCGCGACATGAGTTGTATCTTGGTCATGGTGTGTTGACAAACATAATTCAAATCCCCTGCCCCTAGCGGTAGTTGAATTAGGTTTGAAAGAGTTATAGTTCAGATTAAGTGATCAAACTCCATAATTTAGTTTTGATTTCCATCACACATAACCGAAATCATTATTCAATTTGAAAGTCAGACTTCATGTTGCAATGTTTAGGTCCAATATCACATCATGCATGGATAGTATTTTTAGCATTAACTTCAAAATTTGAATATATTTTATCTGAATGCACGCCATAAAATTATAACAAGGAGAACACAAGGGATTTCATGCTCCCATAGGCCATACAGGTCTGTCACTGATCATCATCATCCCTTAAAAAACGCTTCTATTTTAACTCTCTTTCCTACTTAGAGAAAGCCATCGACTAATGAAAATTTGGAAAATGACAGAGAAATCACACATAAAACTTTCTGATATAGGTAGTGGCGTAGCCTCACATTTGTTGTTTTCGTTTTTTCTTTTCCCCAGCTAGCCTGCACTGTGGTTAAAATTTTGGGGGTTTTCTAGTTAAACAGTTTCGGTTGAAGGAGGGAGAAGCGGCTTCGTGAGGGACGACTTGATATGGATTGATGTTCTGATGTTGGTGTGCTCCGATGTAGACTGAATTGCAGCAGCCTTGTCTTGAGCTGCAAACTTTCTCTCTTGGCTTTTACCCCATAGCACCAGGTACAATCCTACTACGATCAACGCTGCCCCAATGATGCTGCGCTTTAAAAAGAAATGGTGTTCATGCCAAATTAATCACAAGCTTAATGTCACTTGTTGATGGTGTTCGATGAGTTTTGACTAAGGGATGTGGAGATATATAATGTAGGAAAAGAAGAAGAAAAGGACCCACTTACAACTTACCCTCCCAAATAAAACTCTTCCCCTAAAGCAATGGAAGCCATAATGGCGACAACGAGTGTCTGAAGAGGTTGATAAACGGCAACGAAGACAGGGCCACCTCTGTCGATGCACCATATCTGTACAGCGAATGCAATCCCCGATGCCACCACTCCCTGCATTTTTCCCCACACAAATGTTTTGGTCTCGTTTCATTTTCAATACCCCACCACCCCCACATTATTGTCTAAACCACTTTTCTAATATACTTTTTAATAACTACAAGATAAGAAATCATATAGAATAAATTAAGGGTTGTATCCCATGAACATGGACTCAAATGTGGAAGATGAACAAGAAGGATCTGTGAACGGTTTGAGTAAAGGACAGAAGAAATACCGACCGCGTAGAGAATAGTGAAGAGTTCTCCGCCAGAGTGGAAAATCCAAGCTTGAGAGTCTCTCTCAAAAACTACCGCAATGATGAGGAACTGAATAAGACCAAAGAAGCATGTATAGGATGTCACGGAGAGTCTAGCCGGGTACTTCTTTAAAACGGGTGCCTGCAATACCAGCCAACCGGACCAGGACAGGCAATGGCCTATCAGATACAGACAACCAAGGGCCCAGTTCTTTCCCTCTGCATCTCCCAGTGAAACAAACATCGGGGCGGGTCTATTCAGTGGTGGGGTTGGACTGTATATGGTTGGACCTTTGTATAGAGTTATTACTGATGCTCCACCCACACACAAGATTGTTCCCATGACTTTTGATATCCCATCTTTTCGATTTAGCCGCACTTTCTCTATCCTGAAAGTACAAGAAACATGCAAACGAATACAGTCAAACTCACATTTCATTAATGAATGTAATAAAAAGGAAAAAGTTGCTAATTACCGTAGTATGGCTGCCATGAGAAAGGTAATGGCTGGGACAGAGTTTTGGATTGCCGATGCAAAGGTTGGTGATGTGTTATCTAAGCCCAGCAAGTAGAAGCCTTGATTTGTTGTTATTCTGTCTCGTTAATAAGAAAAAGAAGGAAATAGAACCTGTTAATTTTTGCTTTGAACTTTGATGAGTTCCTTTATCATCGCTATATATTTTAGGGTTTTAGAGGGATCAATATCATGCTTACCCTACAAGAGCGAGGAGGAAGAACTGTAGCAGAAAATTTAGAGTAATAGGAGGTCTCGCCCTCCTGTATAAAGAATGTAACACACGTTAGGGTTTAAGTACATCTAAGGGTTTTAAAATCGATAGAGTAATGAAGCTATAACTTATGATTTGTGTGATTTACTTTTCAAGAAAATATGCGAAGGGAAGGAGCAGAAGCAAAGCAATGATATTCCTGTAAACTGGGAATACAAGTTTGCTATCTCCCATGTTAAGGGCAGCTCTGGAGACCAAATGGAACCGTGCGTAACCAAACTGCAAGGCCAACATGGCCATATGCAGCTGTAGCCTTTCAGGAACCGAACACAACATCCCGTTCGCAGAGGCTGAGCCTCTAACATCAGCCATTGAAGCAAAGACTTCAGAGAAGTGAAGAAATGGTTATCACAAGAGATTAAGCAAAGCTGAGGATGGCGAAGATAGGGAATGGAATGGTGGTATAAATATACATTTTAAGGAAGGGAGAAATATAAAAATGGAGGTTTTGATGTACATGGTTTGGCCCACAATGCGCCTACAAAGCGTTGTGTCAACTGTTAATAACCCAGAATGTTTTTGGTTGTCCCCCTCATTCTTCGAGACAACCCAATCGTACTATAACCTCCTTCAAAGGTGAAAGGAAAAGAGGTGTATGTTTACTACACTATTATATAGCAGGTCCTGTTTTGGCTTCATGCCATTAATGACGGTAATTGAAGGTGAACAAGTGTAAGCCGTCATTGATAAATAGGCGCAGTGTACCCTTCACCACCCCACACATGCATGCTAAGCTTTATATTTCTTGTATTTTTGTAGCTTCTTCATTACTTTAATGCCTAGTTTTATAATTAATCACTTTTTCTTTTGCTTTGTTCCTGACATTTAAATAAATCAATTCCTCCTCTCTGTACAGGAATGGAGACTGCAAACTGCCTTGATTTGCTACCTGATTACCCATTGTAAACAAACAGCCTTGGTTTGCTAACTAAGTTTGTCCAAGTAAACCAATTGTTGAACGATCAAACTGCAAACCGCTTGTTTGTGTTTATGCAATAAACGATCTCATTTCATTTGAAAGTCAAATAATGAACTTACTATACATAATTCTGTAGACTCGAATTCTAATTAATAATTAAATTAAATTTATTACAATTTTATTAGTTAAAAAATAAATTTATTTTTATAAGAATTTGTATGGAGTATTTCCACTATAGTTCCCATGCCCAAAGTTTGGTCAAATTCGTCAATTGTGGGTTGTGTTCTTATCTCAACTCTCCCTTGTTTTAAGAGACACGTTGGCCCCCCTCAGTCGAGACCACCATCATGCTAAAAATTCAAAAGGAGAGGCCCTGCCTGAAAAATAAAATAATGTTATGACCCTTTTTCATCTTTAAAAAAAATGTTTTCATCCCACAGCAAATGCTTTAGCCTTTACTAATAAGGATTCATGGTGAGCCAAGGAAATATAAGAACTTGGTCTTATCTGAACCGGTCGGACACCAATCCAGGTTTGATATTTAATTTCAGTTGATGTAGCTTCTTCATTCTGGCTTTGGAGTCGAATAATCAGTACAGGACTGACAACTGTACTATATTTTGTTTGCACGGAAGAATCTTCAATGCCACTCCAGTGGAGGACTGAGTGGACTCATTATTTTCTAATCAATATAAGCATGCAGGAGCTCCTAACTAAAACATAAATTATTAATAATAATATTTGATAAGCAATTATGGACTTATGGTATAATATTTGATAAGGAAATTTACGAGATAACTGGTTAAAATCTATTAATCTTTGCAGGGTGACAAATGTGGTATGTTTTTTTTTTACAGATTTACTTGAATTAACTCCAGTGAAAACTTCATGGTTAAAGAATGTTAAAGGTGGGGAATTGTCATGGGAATCGATTAAGTTGAAAGATTGAAATGCCTTGATATCATTCCTTTCTTGATGTTGAACACTTTCCAGACAACCTGAAAGTTCTTTTGTTCATTTCCCATGGTCATGTCATGTCTCCCACTAATCTACATGGACAGTTGTGCTTTCATCACATTGGAATTTGGATGCTCATTGTTAAGTCGTATTCGGTCTAGTTCAGGAATCTTAGCTCTTTTCCTTTGGCTAATTGGTAGTTAGATCAGTAGTTGACCGATCCCCTTTGATCACTTTTATTGTTTAGTCGTATTCATTTATTGAATGAATCTAACCATGCATTGCAGTTTGCTTACATTCTTGAAGTCTAAGGTTCATATTCAAGATAGACAGCATGTGCTGCTTTAGCTTTGTTGCCTGATTTTAGATGAACCAGGGTGGTTCAATTGACTAGGACGTGGGTCATTGTTAGAGTGCAATTCTACGTGTGATACCTGATCAGTATTCGGCACGGAGCATGCATAAAAAGTGGGAATATTTATCCCTGGCAAACAGTAAAAGCTTTTGAGAGCTGAGACCATGTCTATATAGACTCATTTGGCCTTCATCATCCTATGAAAAGCTGGCCTAGTTGAGTTGCTTTGCTAACCTTAGAGTCCAGCTAAATCATGAAACATGACTCGGTTCACAAACAAACTTCCAAGTCATCATAACTCAAGATAATCCAGTAAGTGTATCATCAAAGCTGGGAATTTTGCATTAACTCATACTTTCAAAAGGAGCAAAATTTCACCTTCACTTTCATTTCAACTTTTTTACTTTTGGAGATTGCAAACGACAATAATCCAAAGAAATTCTAGCTTCGATGAAATTGAGATTTGAGAGACTGAAACACCTTTGGAAATATCCCCTGATATCTTTTATGATGTTTGCCTCCTATCAGTAGTCATGTTTCTTTTTATTTCTTTTTTACTTGGCCCATAAAGTGATTCCACCAGCAAAATTTTCCATACGCTTTCTTTAAGGCATCCCCAACATGATAAGATATGATATCATCTAATTTTACAAATTGTCGTGTGCCCTAGTCCAATTAATTGAAAGCTTGATCAATGTTCCCATTAGGCATTGATTAGGCATGCAGTGCTACTGATTGCTCTATTTCAAGTGTCCAAAAAGTGTTTCCATTAAAGGGATCGTACTCATACAAGATGGCAACCCCCACCCAGGTTCTACCTCCCCCGGTATGTGTGTATCTATCAGTTAATGAAAATTTTTCAAGGCTGTTATCGATTACTCTGAATAGTAATATCTACAACTACAGCACTAATTGTCCCCACGTTTATGCAAATAATTCAGCAATTTCATGACACAGGTGTACGAAAAAGGGAAGGAAAACTAGACTCATGTGAAGATGGATTCCAAGGTAAAGGGCATGGCTGCTCAGAAAGCACAAGTTTCACACACACATGTATTGCTATTCGACTAATATGCATTTCTACCAACGTGAGACACCTTTTGTAAATGGGAACTGTGAATTTGAATTTAGGTTATTGTCTTGCATGCATGGTTTAGGATATTGAATATTGATTTTTTGAACGACATTTGCATGGTATAAATCTGATGGTAGTATCATTTGAAGTTTTAGATGCAGTGATTTTCTTGACAAGTTTAGTTAAAGCATACAAAAAGTAGAATATGCGCAGAAAACATATATAAAAAGACAGACAAAGAAATAAAGAATTCAGTATCAAGTATACAAATTTGTTTTTAATCCTTGAAAATACGGTAGCAGGCAATGCCGCGGCTTCAAATATTCCTAATAAAACCATATTCGACTGTTTGGTTAAATATCTTACTTTTCTCTTTCAAAAAAATATCTTACTTTTCTCCCTCTTTCATCTACTTCCCACTTTCAGCATCCACGTTCATGGGAGTGACAAAGTCTCCATTACCACTTCTCTTTACGTTGCACTAGGTAAGGTAAAGGAAACCAACTTTCAGAGACGAATTTGGAATTAAATAATAGAAAAAGTGGTTTTTTTGAAAGAAACTTTGAGCTTCAGCCATGGTTAGGGCTTTAAGCTCATAGGCTCCTTGGTTGGCGCACCTCCAATTGTAGACGAAAAGCTCATCCATTATCTATTTACAAAGAAACTGATACCTAAGCTCATACAGGGCCCGACTGCATAAGGTAAAAACAAGGATATCAACACCAAAAAGACAAGTTTACAACTACCCAGCTGAAATATACAGGGATAAACTTCAACTTGCAACCAATAACTACTTTTCATTCAATAAGCAAAATGCAATTTTCTAATGGAATCACCATATGATATGATAATTGGGGAAGAGACAAAAGAAAGAGAGCTCGGGAGATAAGCACGAAGAGACGGTGAAAGCAGAAAGGTGAGATGGATACAGAAGGACGATCAGTCTCTTGGACAAGTTGCTTTGAAGTCTACTTTGGTTCTCTTAAGCAGCTTGAACATTATATTTTCCAGTTCCCCACGATCCCTTGCAGTTTTCTTCATGCCTGGTTGTTTAAGTGGCATTGTTTTCTTCCTATGCTGCTCAAAGACAATTGGTACTCTTCCAATTCTATGTATTTGAGAGTGAAAATGACTAATTTCATTGTTTAGAGGCTGTTTCTTGAAGTAGGTTTGGATTGGATGAAATCGAGTCAATCACTAACCTTGTTGAGAGATGTAAATATATGATTGTAATCCGTTAAGTGTTAGTTTAAAATTTGTTATGCACTTAATTTAGAGGTGTTATATAAATAAGGTATGTGACTTTATAATTTTATAAAACATACGAAACAGAGGTATTCTTTCACATTTACTTAGTTTCAACATGGTATCAGTCACTACTAAACATATATGCCTCTGTAAACAAAATTGCCTTAGCTAAGCCATATGCATATTCAATGACCTCCCAGTATTCGTCTATTCTTTATGAGAGAGATCAATTACAACTATAAACATATATGCCTCTGTAAACAGTAAAGAACATCTCATTTACGTTCATTATTTGTCGATGCTTATAACGTCTCCAGACAGTTTTCTCCCATCTCGTTCGAAGACAGCGACCTCTTCCTTTGACACAGTAAATTGTAGCTGAGGTGTGGAGAATTGGACCATAACCGAGGTAATGGACAAGTGTTATAGGCCTAATGGTTTTGGTTCAGCTCATGGGCCGAGTACCTTTCCCTTCATATCGTATCTTGATTTTACCAACTCAAAATACAATTTTTTATTGGATTGTATGATATCATTGATGAGCAAAGCTAGCTGAAAATAACATTTGAAAAGAAAGGAAAGGAACAAAATGGTGTTTGACAAATGATATTATTGGTTGTGGACCACTGGTACTTACTCTCTCTTTTTATTCCCACAGCTAACGTGTAATGTAGAGTTCATTACAATATAAAACAAGTGAAAATGTATAAACCAATGAACGGTGATAAGAGGATATTCCTTCCCTTAACTTTTACATATAAAAAAACAAATTATTGCAATTATTGTTTACGATATGTGTTTATATATACGTAATGTAAGTTAAAATTAAAATGTGAAAACTGAGAGGAAAAAATAATTATATTTTTTATTTAAAATGGAAAACTAATTATATTTTAAAAATAATTATTAATTTTCATATAGGAGTAACTAATTATGAGGTGAACTTTATCCTTTTAGGAATCATCTGTTCCCGAAGAGAGGTTTTTCATTTCTAAAGTAAGCTCAAGTTGTGAGACGCCTAACCAATCAAAATACAAAACGTGTCGAAGCCTCATTATCCACGCACCTACTTGCAACAATCTACGATGGACGTCACAATATATTATATCTCCTCTCTTGCTCTACGCATTAATTTCCCAATCTACTTGCCCAAAAAAATGGAACGCCTATCGCTTCTCTTTCTGCTCCTCTCATCGTTCGTTGCTTCCGCCGTCGTTGCGGAGGTTATCAGCAACGACGATACTCTGATCCGTCAAGTGGTACCCGAAGGAGTCGCCGAGGAAGACTTTCATGATCAACTCCTCAACGCCGAGCACCATTTCACGCTGTTCAAATCCAAGTTCGGGAAGACTTACGCCACGAAGGACGAACACGATTACCGATTGGGAGTCTTCAAGGCTAACTTGCGCCGCGCCAAGCGTCATCAGCTCCTAGACCCTACTGCCTTCCACGGCGTTACTAAGTTCTCCGATTTAACTCCATCGGAGTTCCGTCACAAGTTCCTTGGCTTGAAATCGCTCAAACTCCCAACCGATGCCGAAAAGGCTCCTATTCTTCCCACTGAAAATTTGCCCGTTGACTTTGACTGGCGCGACCACGGCGCTGTTACCGGCGTCAAAGATCAAGTAATAAATTTTTTTTTTGCTTTATGTACTAGTGAAAATAAAAACTGCCCTACTTTATTTGTGACGACTGAGAAACTTTCCCTTTGATATGCAGGGATCGTGTGGGTCATGCTGGGCCTTTAGTACCACAGGAGCTTTGGAGGGAGCCCATTATTTATCGACAGGGGAGCTTGTCAGCTTGAGCGAACAGCAGCTTGTCGAGTGTGATCACGAGGTTTCATTTTTTTTCTCTTTATTTTATTAACAGCAGTCTGTTGATGAATGTTATCCTAAAAAGATCATTTATTGTTGTGTTTTGCATTTTTTTTATCCAATTCTAGTAGTAAAATTTGCTTAAAACTATTGACGTTGATGATTGTTCCCATGATTACTGCCATAAAAATCATATTGGGTGTTTTCATATATCGAACATCACGTCGATTAAAGATAAGAATTGGGTATTTTTGCAGTGTGATCCACAAGAATATGGTGCGTGCGACTCGGGGTGTAATGGTGGGCTTATGACCACTGCTTTCGAGTACACTCTTAAGGCTGGTGGACTTGAGAGGGAGAACGACTATCCTTACACTGGGAATGACCGTGCTCCCTGCAAATTTGACAAGACCAAAATTGCAGCTTCTGTTTCTAACTTCAGTGTTATATCTATTGACGAGGACCAAATCGCTGCAAATTTGGTTAAACATGGTCCTCTTGCAGGTAAATTTTGATATTCGATAGTTCCCTTTGAGTGTTGGAGTCCGAACTTGGTAACCTGAATGGCTGAATCCGTATATAATCCTCTTTCTTTGGCTGTTGCAGTGGGCATCAATGCTGCTTTTATGCAGACATACATGCACGGGGTTTCATGCCCGTACATTTGTGGGAAGCATTTGGATCATGGAGTCCTTCTCGTAGGCTACGGTGATGCTGGTTACGCCCCGATCCGATTCAAGAACAAGCCTTATTGGATCATAAAGAATTCATGGGGAGAAAATTGGGGAGAAAACGGATATTACAAGATCTGTAGGGGTAAGAATGTTTGTGGCGTGGACTCCATGGTATCAAGTGTATCTGCCTTGCATATTTAACAAAAAAAAGGCAGTAGCAGCCACAGTAGATTTGCTTTGTAACTAAATGATAAGCAACACTAGTAGTAATCAGTATTCAAACACATATATCAGTATGTACTATTTCCATTTTCCAGCAATGCTATGGCTTGAAAGTTGTAACTGAATAATCTTTTCCTTGGGATATCACTAATCTTAAGACCTGTGTCTGCTATAAAAATTATATTGCGTTTGCATTCTACAAGACTTGTTATTTTGCCTGCAGGATACGGTATCACGTTGAACTACAATAAATTTCCATAATTAACTAACAACTAAACTATATCTTCAAAGATCCAGAAGATTTTACAAGATCATGATGAGTCAATACTCATCTAACATACACTGATTTAATTGGGTGGGGTGGGAAGTAAATTGGAATATGGTGTATAGGCCTAATAAGGAAAGTGGTTTGGGCTTGGGAGATATTAGAACATGAAACAAAATCAGTAGAATCCAACATTTACGAGTTTTAGTATTTAAATCTGAATCCATTTAAATTAGGTGGATCTAGAAATATATTTTCAAAAGAAGGAAGATTTACAAATCTTTCAGATTCGATCATTATAATTGGTTTCCAAAGGAGTTCTCTAGATTATTGATAAAAACATATTAGTTTATTGACTTATTAGTACGGGAGTTCAAAACAAGCAAAATCTGAGAGGAAGTTGCAACATAAATGTGTATTGTTGACCAAATTATTATGGTACCATTTTTTTCATGAACAAAGTGTACATCAAAGGATCAACTCCATACTAGTTTTGTCATAATATCTATCACTCGATTACATTCGTGTGGGAATTGGGATGTAGTATAATCTTACTCTCCAGTTTTGTTTGAGAAGCTCAGCTATATGTGAAATCATTGGTGCACGACTCCTTCATTTGATCTATTGTTAAGGACCAAAAGGGGCTTTTTTGCTGTCCGTTTCTACGGGTAAACCCATTAGATCTCATGCCAACATCAAACCTTCAAAAATGTCTCACAACTCCTCGTTCAAAGTTGTACAACGGGCCGAATCAAACGAATTTGGTAAAATAGCTGTTGTTATTATTTTAAGATCTCGAGTTTGAGCACTATGAATATTAGGAGTTTTTAATGTCAAATGGTTAAGAGTTATTTTTTGAACAGATATTATCTTATATTTATCTCAAATTAATAAAAAAAAATATACAACAAGCATGAACCGAGTGATCACAGTGATAAGAAAATTATTGTTTTTCATTTAGATCTAAGATTCAAACATTATAAATATCAAGGGAGTAAACGTTCAATATAAAATAATTAAGAGTTATTAACATATTACATATTATATTTATTCCAGAGTAATAAAAAAAATTTACAACCGTGAATAAATTTAATAAATTTCGAAATCCAAGTTCTCTCGTGATGGCCATTGGCCAACAACACCCCCAAATGTCGCCAAGCCGGTTCTCGCTCTAAAAGACCTAGGCCTGTAAATGAACTGAACGTTCAGTGAACCGTTCATGAACCGTACGGCGAGAAGTTTGTTTATTTATTAAATGAACGAACATGAACAAGATTTTACGTTCGTTTAATTAAATGAACAAACACGAACAAATGACTCGTTCGCTCATTTACGTTCGTGAAAGTTCGATTATATGTTTGTTTATGTTCATTCATTTATGTTCATTTATGTTAGAACAGATGTCAAGTTGAATATGTTACGAAGATTATTGAAGTTGTTTGGATTTCAAGAAGATTGTTTTGTTGAACAAATTAACTTATGCTTATATAGCTTATTTATGATTTATGTATGTTTTTGTCGTATTCGAACAAATTAATTCTAAAGTTGTGTTTGGATTTCAAGAAGATTGTTTTGTTGAACAAATTAACTTATGCTCATATAGCTTATTTATGATTTATGTATGTTTTTGTCGTATTCGAACAAATTAACTCTAAAGTTGTAGGTTATATTAAAGAATTTTAAGTTGTTATTCTTGTTGTTTACTTTTTTTACATTCATTTGTTGTGTACGAATAAGTTTAATTTTTGTGTTGTGTTGTTCGTTTATGTTCATTTATTATGTTCGTTCGTTTGTGTTCGTTTATCATTTAAATGAACGAACTTGAACGAAAATGAACAAGCTATATTCTTTAATGAACGAACATGAACAAAAAACTTTTTGTTCGTTTATGTTCATGTTCATTTATTTATTAAATTAACTAACATGAATATACATCCGTTTATATGCGTTTGATTCGTTTACATGCCTAATAAGACCCATAAGACCCATCTAATCTCACGTAATATCTTAATATTTTGAGTTTATGGTTAACGAATAAAAATAATTATTTTATTACAAACTGAAAATAAATATCATCAAAATTTATTGTAGACAAAATGGAATTATTAAGCATTGAATGTGATCGCAGTCGCCCAGAGCAACACGTGTCGTCATTATGATCCGGAAACTTTAATTTTCTCCTAGAAAATTCCCGAAACAACAACAATATAGAGAAATCCTTTCAAACGTTCAAACGTGTATATATATATAGTATCATTAACACTACCACTTCACATTGAGAAATCACCAGCAAAGCTAAGCAAAATTTCCAATTATCCTAAAGAATTTAACGTTTTCGTTCCATTGCAGAATTCCCTTAACCAGAAATGGCCATCAAAAACCTCACCAGAGCCATCATTTGCCTAATGGCAGCAACCATCATGGCAAGCCAAGTGAATGGTTTAATGTCCTACCCAAGGTCATTATGGGACGTGATGATCCCCCAAGACCCGTTTAGAATCCTCGAACACATACCGCTTGCCGTCCCGAAAGCCACGGAGCCGATGGCGGTGGCATTGGCTCGTGCCGATTGGAAAGAAACACCGCGGTTCCACGTAATCGCCGTCGACATCCCCGGGATGAAGAAGGAAGATCTGAAGATCCAGGTCGAAGACAACCGTCTGTTGAGGATCAGCAGTAAAAGAAAGGAGAAAGAGGGGGTGGAAGGTGAGAAATGGCACAGTGCGGAGAGGACGAATGGGAAATTCTGGAGGCAGTTCAGGATGCCTGGGAATGCGGACTTGCATCACATCAAGGCTCATTTGGAAGATGGGGGCCGATGAGGCCAAGAAGCAGTCTAAGGTTATCATCATTGGTTCGTCGGCTGCTTCTGGTGAGAATGTTGACACCACCTCCAGGGCTGCCCAGCAGTGCATGTGGATGATGCGTCTTCGTTTTATGTGATGGCTTTGATTAACAATAAGTTGATGTTATCTTATGCTTATTCATCATGATGAAATGGTGCATGATATTTTTTTGTATGTAACTTCATAGTTCTAATTTTGGGTTCATTGGGTAATTTTTGGTTTTTTTTTTTTCGTCTCTTTTTATTTTTTTTATAATAAAATTTAGGATAAATTACATGTTTAGTATTTAAATTATTAGTTTTGGTGTATTTTAATACTTAAATTTTTAAATTTTTTAAAAATTTAACATTAAAAACTTAACGAGTATTAAAATAAAAAATTAAACATTAAATATAATTTTTTTAAAATTAAATGTTTAAATAATAAAATAAATTAAAAATAATAATTTAAATATTAAACGCATAATTTATTTTAAGATTTATTAAGCATTAGAAAACAGAGTTGATATGGCTCCCGTCGTTTTCAGTTTCACTGTCGCTTTCACGCGATTTTAGTTGGTGGATTGTTTGGAAAATGGAAAACAACTGCACGATGTCGTTTGCAAATGTTCCAGTGTGGTTTGGTCCCTTAACTTTTAGCAAAAGAGAAGTTTACAAAACAGAGTGGACATATTTTCTCATGACCCAATTAGCTGTTGAAATGCTGGCCCAAGAAGGCTACCCAATGATTTTTCATTAAATTTCCTGCTTTTTATTTTTGCAAAAAGCCAAGTGTATGATGATTTTCATTGCTCATATGTTTTAAGCTTTAATGATTTTGATTTTTTTTGTGTGGCAAGTTAATATCTTGCTAACTAGTAAGTGGGTCATCAAGCATAAGCTTTCTTCGGAATATGAATAATATTTCAAAATTAATTTGAAAAATAATGTTAATTTAAATTTAATGTCAATTAAATGAGTAAGTATCGTTCAAGTTGTTTATCCGTCTATGTTTGTTCTCTCATATATTTATAAGTTATGGATTATAAGTTTATTACGGGTATTTTCTTTGATTTCCCTGGAGTCCCTCCTTTTTAGGGATTAAATTTAAAATTTATCCAAAAATATATATTTATTAAAATTTATCATTGCATCACAAATTTAATTGATCAAAATTAAGAAGGGGTTAAACTTAAATTTTATCCAAAAAATATATTTATTAAAATTTTATCACCTGCATAAAGCTTTCGACTCCATCCATTGGGGATTCATTTATGATATTCCCAAAGCTCTTAATCTTCCACACACTTTCATTGCTTGGATCAAAGCTTTTTTCACACAAGCAAGATTCTCGATTTCTTTTAATGGGACTCTTATTGGATATTTTAAAGGCGCTAAAGGACTAAGATAGGGAGATCCTCTTTCCCCCTACCTTTCCGTGCTTGCTATGAATATCTTATCAAGAATGCTTAACTTGGCAGCGGAAAGAGGTATATTTGGATTTCATCCAAAAACAAGGAAAATTGGTCTTACTCATCTTTCTTTTGCCGACGACCTTCTTATTTTCTGCAAAGGAAATATTGAATCGGTGGTTGGAGTCCTTAGTATTCTTGATCAATTCTATGAAGTCTCTGGACTCAAGTTGAATTCTTCCAAATGTGAAATTTTTTCTGCGGGTATTCATGCTAGAACCATTGAGAAGGTAAAACAAATCACAGGAGTCGGAATTTTACTTGTTCGCTATCTTGGAATTCCTCTAGTTACCCGCAAGCTTACCGAGAAGGATTGCCAAGCTCTTATTGATAACATTAAACGTAAGCTTCACATCTGGTCCGGGAGAATTTCCAGCTATGCAGGGAGATTAGAACTCATAAAATCTGTTTTATTCAATATTAGCAATTACTGGTGTAGGCAACTTGTTTTGCCAGCTTCAATCCTTAAAAAGGTAGAACAAATCTCCTCTAGGTATTTCTAGAAAGGAGCAGATAAATTTGTTGCAGGTGCAAGAATCAGCTGGGGGAAAATTACCCTTCCTAAATCCAAGGGAGGATTAGGACTGAAAAATATTAAAACTTGGAATAGAGCATGACTGCTGAGTCTAATTCGGAAAATTCTTGCGGGCAATGGTTCTCTATGGGTAGTTTGGCTAAAAGCTTATGTTTTCAAGGATCACGAATTCTGGCAGTTTCAAGCAGGTGTAAACGTTAGTTGGAGCATAAGAAGGCTTTTGAAATTGCGGACAGAAGCTTCACCAATTATTTCAGCCGATCCTGTGCAAACAAGGGACATATGGGACCTGATCCGATTCAAAGAACAGAAAGTATCTTGGCACAAATTAATTTGGTTCTCATTACACATTCCAAAGTTAAGTTTGATTGCCTGGATGATTATTCTCAACCGGTTGCCAACTAGAGACTGACTCAATACAATGGGAATTTGCACTGCTCTCCACTGTGTAAACTGCGGCACTTATATGGAGTCAAGGGACCACCTCTTCATGTAATGCCCACTGGCAGCAGCTCTCTGGAATGCTATTCTGAAGCTTAATGAGATGAATTCATCTTCCATGACATGGGTTGAAATGGTTTCAAAGGCTTCTTCTACATGGAAAGGAAAGTCTCTCCATACTACCATTTTGAAAATTTCTTGAACTGCATTTCTTTACTTCATCTGGTAGGAAACAAAATCAAAGAATCTTCTTGGGACGTCATAGAACGGTGGAATGCTTGCTCAAGGAAGTTAAAAACGTTGTTGGGATCCGTCTTAGGGCACTAATATTAATAGACTTGATAGCACTAATCTTAAGCTTTGTGATGTTTGGGGTATAGTCTAACCAATCTTTTTTGTATTTTCTTTTGTTATTGTGACAGTTGATTTGTTGATTGGTTGATTGGTTGTACATCTTTGCTTTAGGTAATAAAATTCTAACTTATCCAAAAAAAAAACAAAAAAAAAATTCTAAAGATTCACGTAAAATCCATGCACTTTTTTATTTTAAATATTGGTATTAGAATTACTTGTAGCCTGAAATCAGTAAAGGAAAACTGACAACGGCGCGTCATTTAATCAAATCCTTTTTGCTAATATTGAAGTTAGCCATAGCTTAGGTTCAGCAGGTCGGCAATTTCTTTAGGCATGGATGTCACAACAATCCAGTTATTGGACAACAAATTTGCCGCAGACCTGCAACACAGCCAATATTTCACGACCCTATAGTAGTAAACCCTAGCAGTATTCAGATCTGGTATTCCCCCCTTGATAAGGATAAGTCGGGACCAACGCTCTTATTTGTACTGTCAGCTGCCAATTCGTATATCTTGGGATGTTCCGTAAAGGAGCATAAGAGTACGCCAAATTTTTTACTAATAATTCAGTTTTTAATTAAGTCTATTTTTAATAACATTTTTAATACTCTAACAAATAATATAAACCCGTTTCGAAAATCTTCCATAGACAAAGCTCATGTCTCCGATCTCAACAGTCTCGATCACTGTTTGAAAACAAACAAACAAACGTCTTTTCCGATTTGATTCTTGTCCCAAATCTTGTCATTTATGACTTGTTTTTGTTATTTACTAATGACACGGATCCTAAGCTCAACTTACCTGCTGACAACGTAAACTAGGAAACACAGTTGGGTAGAAGCTGGAATATTATATGGATTCGAGAAGCAGATTGTCAAAGCTTAATAACTGTCAAGTTCATAGTAGAAAAGATTCTGTCGTGCAAATTAAATGGAAGATAGATAGGATTACACATGAATATTAAAATAATATATTTATATTTAAATGTCAGCCTACACTGGTTAATCGTCTAGCTGCTTTCCTCTTCTTTCTCTTTCTTTTGGTGCAGTAAAGGCTTGCTTCGCGTTCAAGAATTAGGTACACATTCTTCGGACGCATCTGAATTTTTTACGGTGCTATCAATTACATATAAGAAATCATGCTGAAGACAACAAGCAATGCTGTCATTCGCTGGGGTCGATGTTAGAAAATTTGAAATTTCCCATTGGACCTCGCACATGCAAAATCCCTTTTAGAGATTTATCGATATAATTCCCTTGTCAAGTCTCTTCTCATACTGTAGCCATAATTTTGTCTTCAAATCACTGTGTTTTCCGGAATATATATATATATATATATATATATATATATATGCTTTTATATTTAAAGTTTTATTGCTTTGTAAAGTCATGTTCTATAAACAACAACCTGTTTGGGAAACCCTAAATTATATTTTCTCTATTGATGTGTTCAAACTTCCAAGAGCCAAACTAAAACAAGAAATAGTTTTGTTGTTTTCATTAGAGCATGACTTTAAACACACTTAGATGCATATTGTTCTCTTTTCTTATCTCTCTCCAAGTTACATCCATTTCAAGACGTTGAGGACTCATCATGCTCTATAATCTAAAAATTATTCTTCATGGTGATAAAACCTCACATTAGACCCTCAATGCGGAGAAGCGTTATAACTTATTAGCTAATGACCAACGTTTCCGTTCGAGCAGAGGGTCATATCCATGCAGGTCTATCTACATTTTTTTGCAGAGATCAGCCAATAAAGAATATAGATGTCTGTACGTATAAAATAAAGTACATTCTCATTCAAAAAGGCAGAGAGGGAGATGGAGGATGACATCTTTCATAGCTTTGCTTTTTGGAATGGAACGCCAATGCATGATAGACTTGTAAAGCTGGTTCATGGGCTTTCTTTCTTTCTTTTTGTATTCTCTCTCTTTGCCGGAATTATTTAACCAGATTAAATGTTAAAGAAAAAGAAAGTGATAGTATTAAAATTCTTTGCTTAGCAGAACACGAAACCATGTCGTCCCATTTCCATCCGGCACGCAGTCGGATAAATGGGGAAAGCGGCTTCGAGTTCAACACCAACCAGAAAGCAGATTCAAGATCAATCAAACCCACAAAAAGAAAGGGAAAAATTATATTTAAAGAAAGCCGATAAAGAAACAAAAAACCAATTCACGCCCCTAAAAAAAAGCACCCATTCACATGCTACAATAACAACGTTGAAATAAATAAAAAAACAAAGACTAATTATCGATCCGCACAAAATCATGCACAGGAATTCTGAATCGAAATCCGAAAACAATAACCAACGTCCCCCAATATCATAAGCATCCTCAAAAGTTTCAATTCTCATTCCAATTTATTGTTCTTGGATGGGTGTTAAATAAGATTTGACAAACTACATAACTAAAGTGACCGCTAATAACAAATGGGTGTTTTTTGCCGGAAGGGATCCGCTCTCATAGAGATCAGTGTGGACTGTGGAATAATTGTTGACATCCCAGTAAATCAAGACCTTGAAGGCGGGAAGAATTGCGTGCCGGCAATGAAAGCATTAAGTGGAGCTGGATAAAGAGAAGGGTCAATCATACTTGAGCCAGGATTGCTTGTAGTAGCGGTGGTGGTTGTCGTTGTGGCCACTGCTGCAGTGGAAGAAGCAGCTGTGATGAGATTTAATGGCTGAGAGGATTCCCCGCCACTTGCATATCGACTCTCGGGGCCTCTATCGTAAAGAATTCCCGTGAATACATGCCCAGCGATGTTCACAGCAGTTTGATAAGCCAACTCCCCCTCTACATCGTCCATAGGGCTTACTTTTACACAACGGAAGACTGCTGAAGAACTCACTTCCGGAGGGAATTGGCCCAGTTCCAACCCTAATTTTCAAAGTCAGACAATATAATTAACGGTGACAATATATCGGTATCTAAAATATTCAAACTTAATAAAATGTAAAGAAAATAAATATTTCTTTGATTCTTCTCCCGATTTTATGGGACTTTAACATCAGTTTTACCAGCAAACAGCGGCAGAATTAATGGGGAAAAGAAGAAAAAGAAAAAAAGGAGTTGGTTGGGTGACAAAGGAGGTGGACTAGCATACAAGCAAATGGTACGGTCATGTTGGGACATTGTATTGCTGGCAGTCACTGGAATTCATTGGCTCTCACCATTTTAATCTTTCTCGAGCTATGTTTACAATACGCGGTTTTTGAAAACTTTCCATCATAGACCCTTTACACGATTTCAATTCAAAGAACCCAAAAATCTTGCATTGATGTTGTTTTTTCTTTCTTTTGGTTCTGTCCTTGTGTTGTAAACCAGTACTTCAACTTTACCTGACATGGTGGGAGATAAACGAGTGCAGGCAAGAGAAGGAGAAGCATGGCTGTCTCTCGGCCTTTTAGGATTCTCTCCTCGAAACTGTTGTTGTTCTTCTTGTTGTTGATTTTGCTGCTGCTGGGTTTGTTGCAAAGCAGCGAGTTGTTGCTGTCTCTCTCGCCTTTTGGCAGCAGGGACCCAAGTGCTCTTAACGTGAGTTTGGCACTGAAACCCTCGACTTTTACAACAAGTCCTGCATCTCAAATGGGGACAATCTTTCTTAGCTTGGTTCCCACAATCTTGGCAGTTCATACCTCCTGGTTTCATAATCGTTAACCCTGCTGTTCTCGAGGACGACTCATCGGAGAAACTAAAGCCGCTGGTTCTTCGACTAGGACCCACTCCAAACGGCAAGTTGTTGACGTTTTGCTGTTGGTAATAACACTGAGGCCATATCTCAAACCCTTTGTTGTAGATCTCCTCGTTTCTGTAAAGATAGAAGTTCTCCTCTTTATCTCCACCTTGTGATTTGTTTGCAGCTGCTCCTCCTTCTCGTCCACCTAGATAGATCAAGCCAGCCATTTGTTGCACCCAAGAGCTGAAACCAATCTCAAATTTGACCAAAATTCCATAGCAGAATGACCCTATTTAGTGCCCCCACTTCACCGCCAGATCACCAGTGTGATGAGCTGGTAGGATTTTCCCTGGGGTCTTTATGGGTTTCAACTGTGGAAACTTTTCCTGTTCAGTTTTTAAAGGCCACTGTTAGTCTGTGAATGTTTGTAGGAAGGGGGGTTTGACCCGATCTTTTACCTTCAATGACCAGAAAATTTAATACACTAGCCAGTTTCAATTTCCTTTCTGATCTTTGGGGTTTCCTTTTTTTTTCCTGCAAACGATTATGGCTTCTTCTTTTTCTCCTTCAATTCCCAGCAATAATGGCACGGAATTAGATCCCCTGCAACGCCGCCATGAGAACTGCACCCCGCTCTCTCCTCATTTAGGACAAATAACTTCCTTCCTCTTCCATCCCTGATTTAAATTATAACAAAAACAACAACTTGCTATAGATCTCCGGGTTTTGATGAGTAATGCAAATGTGAGACAGAGACAGATATACAGGAAAAAGAAAACGCAAAGATGCAAGAAAATATGTCTCTGGGCACTTCTCTACCCTCTACAGTTCTCTTCGGTTTCAATGAATCTATTCAACCAAAGGTTTGAATCTCTGCCGTTGCATGTACATCGTACGTTCCCTATTCTCTCCACGTGGCACAGCATCAGCTTTTCCTTATTCGTTCTTGCACCGGAAAACACGCTATACTTTTTTTCCTTTCTGACCGTCCCTGTAATTAGATTGATATTTTCCCTATGCTCCTTATTCTATTTTATCTATTACCTCTCAAAATTCAAATTATTGATTGATTTATTTATATTAATATTATAAAATTAATTTTTTTACATTTATTATATTTATCATACCATAATTTCAATTTTTATATTTATTTTTAAAAGTTAATATATTATCTCATTAAACTAATCGACCATAAATAGTGGCATAGCCTAAGCTTAATGAGGGTGGGTACTGAAATCTGAATTTTCTTCGATTAATTACTTATTTTACTAATGGTGTCCCTCTAAATTTTTTTTATAAGTGTTGTACGACCATATAATAACATCAAGGAAAACAACAATGGTTGCTATACAACCAATAAACAAGACCTCAAAAAAAAAACCCACTCAACACTCAACTATACATTCCTCCTATCAACCATGTCTATACAACAGTTAGAAAGCTTGTAACCAACAAACATCCTAATACAACAAATCAAATCGTCAATACAGCGCAAAACATCTCTCAGATGTCTATAATTCCATTCCTCCCAAATGTAGTAAAGAAAACTAGTCCAAGTAATCTTAAGTATGCAAACAATTAGAGACTTCCTTTTTCAATTTCTAACCGTCCACGTAAGACCATCACACCAACCAAGCTGCATCAGCTGTAATTTACACAAATGCAAGACTCCTGCCCAAACTATACAAGAAAAATAACATTTTGAAAAAAGATGGTTCCTTGTCTTGAACTCAACTCCACACAACCCACAAGCCCATCCATTCTAATACCCATACGTGCCAATCTATCCCTTGTAGGCAATATATTTAAAATAATCATCCAAGCGATAATAGAAAACATTGGAACATAGAAAGGAAACCAAATAATCCTCTGTCAATCAACAACCTCCTTCTTCGCCCTAACAACATCTCATATCCACTTACTATTAACCAAATCCCAATTAACAACTCCCCAAAACAAGTCCTCCGCCTCTCCTCTAAGTTTCAACAGCTTCCTTCTGGTCCAACTGAAATGAGGTTTCATTTCACATACCAAAAATCCAAACCCTTGAAAGCATACTCCCTAACCCATGCAATCCATAAGGATCCCTCCCGAGCTAGAAACTTCCTTACCAAAAGAAGACTACAAACCTTATTCCAACACAACAACCTTTTAACCCCCAAGGCCCCTTCAGACTTCAGAAAACACACTTGAGACCAACTAACTCGAGCCATTCTGGCATACTTATCCCACCATTTCCAAAAAAATCGCATGCTCATTTGCTCAATCCTCCGAATTACAACCTTAAAGAGAATCAATTACCTACTCCAATAATTAAACACACTAAACAACACGACTTTAATAAGTTGCAACCGACACCCATAGCTAAACGTCTTCCTCGACCACACCCCAAGCATAATTCGAACCCTATCCAACAAGGAAAAACAATCATTCTCAGAAAGCTTCCTAGTTACTAATGGCACATCAAGATACCTCATCGACAAAACCCCCAATTTGAAACTCATAGCATCCTGAATTTCTCTAAGCTCCCGAACATTAACAACACTAGCAAAAAATTTAGTCTTGGCAGCATTCAACTTCAACCCTGACATGTAACACCCTTAACCCCCTTAACCCGTGTACGTACTTAAATACGAGTTAAAGATGTCACATTGACTTTTTATATGTTTTTACTTGATAACCTGTAAAATTTTGTTTCATTTTAAAATTTCAAATTATCAATTAAAATCCATTTAATCATTCGCTTAAAAATATAAAATAATATTTTATCGTCAAATTTCTAATATGAATTTAGACATCAATTAGGTAGTTCAATGTTGTTTCTCAACATATATAAACTGCCAAAATATTGCTTAATTTAAAAATAAACCAATAAACTTTTAAAACGGTTTTATTAGAACAACAGAACATTTATAATATACATGTCACTAATAAGTTAAAGATGTTTTACTGATATTGTAAGTTAGTAGGATTTCCTAATAAAAGATGCCGCTCAGTACTTCTCACTCCAAGTCCTTTTTTCTTTATTTGAACCTACGTATAAAAATTATCACGCGCTAAGTAAAACTTAGTGAGGCGTCAACATAATTAAAGCAAGATAAAACAAAATTTTCATAATGTATTATAAACATAAATATGTAATTTAAACAAAAACATTAAAACTTCCAAACCATCTATTCTAGCTGTTTTCCTCTTGAAAACCTGAAAATCACCATCTCATGATTTTATCAAAAATCATGTAAATCAACATCATATATAACAAACATTTTATATTATTTTCATTCGTACATATTTTATAACTTTCATTTCATTAAATATTCTTTTCTTTCATATACTTATCATAACTTTCATATTTACCTTTAGAGCCCAATATATATGTAAGAGAATACAAGGTACGTGAGTATAACATAAGGTGCGCACTAGGCACATTACGGTGCCAATCATCGTAGTAAGATGCACTCTAAGTGCAAATCATAACATGTGCACCAACGGTGCAATACGTATTGTTCACGAATGTACCATAACTTAACTTGAACTTTAATAAACTTCATGGAATGCCAAGTGTACCTATAACTCTAAATGCAACATACAATGGGCTTTCATAAAATAACATATTTGTTTAAAAATCAACATTTCCAAACGAAATCGTTTCAACTTATCATCATGAAAATCATAAATTGGGTAGTTCATACCCAAAAACATTCGTAAAACTTTTAAACAAGCATTATGGAAACATTCTATAATTATAATAAAATCATCCTTTAACAAATAATATGAGCACTACAACAAAACTGCCTTTTTGCGGCGTTTTTAAGCGCCGAAAAAATAACCTGTGGCGTTATGAAAAGCGCCGCAAAAAGCGCCCCTGAAAATAGTGCAGCTAAAGTTCGCGGTGTTTGTTAATGAAAAACGCCGCAATAGGTTATGATATTTAGTGGCGTTTTTCTTACAAACGTCGCAATAGGTTTTGAGATTTAGCAGCGTTTTTAGGGGGGAAACGCCGCTAAAGGTATGGTATATAGCGGCGTTTTTAGGATATAAATGCCGTTAAAGGTCTGGTATATAGTGGCGTTCTTAGGGGAAACGTCGCTAAAGGTCTGGTATATAGCAGCGTTTTTAGGATACAAATGCCGCGAAAGGTTGGTATATAGCGCCGTTTGTAACAATAAATGTCGCAATAGGTATTAATATTTTGCGGCATTTTCTGATACAAATGCCACTAAATGTATGATATATTTCGGCATTTTTTGTTACAAACGCCGCTAATTAACACATAATTTAACCAATTCAAAAATTATTGTCGATTACCCCAAATCTGTTTTTTCAACCTGTTACATTATCTAACAAACATGACAACAATAACATCAAACTCTATATCCATAACAAGCAACATCAAATCCAATATAATAAATAAAAGTTTTTCATTAACGTAATATAAATTCAGTTAAACACGGTTTAGTAACATTAACAAAATGCTCATGACAAAATTGAGACTATGATGGTGGATTTTGAGGTTGAGTTTTCTGTATCATATGCATTATATCATTGAGTCATTTTTTAAATTCTTCACATCTCTGCTGATATGCTGCTTTTCTCTGTGCTGTCGTTGCTTCCCTTGCTTCATTTTTCGCTTTCATGTTAGCCATTTGTTGATTCATCTCAGCCAACTGTTGTTTTAAATGACTAACTTCTAATTGAGAAGATTGAGATTGTGATGACATGTACTTTGATGAACTGGATCCAAAATATTTTGTGGGAGTAACAACTGATCCTTGACAACGCACTCGGCCATATCTTTCAGGACCCAAAACGTCATTAATAGCTCAGTTTTCAATGTCATCATCATTAACAAGACCTTGACTCGAACTAGTAGTATGATATTCCGCCCTTTTCTCCCTCAATTTTTCCTAATAATAAGGTGAATAATTAATTAAAAAATGTTATGGTACAAATATAAATAAAGTCATGTAAATTAAAAACATCTACCCAATAAACGTACCATAATTTCTGCAGCTTCAGTAGTCATAGGAATGCCATCCTTCTTCGTATGTGTCATGTCAAATAGTTGGATTCGGCCAACTTTAGAACCGGATGTATTTTCCTACAATGTACCAGAATATAATTACTATGAGTTAGTATGTACATGTAATACAAAAAACAATGTCAATAATCTATAATACCTCCTCATTAGCTATACAAGCAAAACTCTTTGATCCAGCCGTGTGCGTAAACTTTTAATGTTGCCTGCTAGCAACACCAACATGCTCTTGGTCCTACAATGTCAAACAACCACTTTTAATGATGATTTATAATTTGTTACAATTATTTCTGAAAAATACATCATACTTGTCCTTTTTGTGAACTCCAAAATCTGACTGCATCTTCCCATTGGTACCTGAGCATTCCAGGTGGGACTGTTTGCAGCTTCTCTTCAAGGCTGAGATCATTCTTGAAGTATTTCTTCTTTAAGGAGCTCTTGTGGTCCCTCCATCTCTTCCCTAACGCTTGCTTCATATAATCGTCAAAGACCTCTAAAGAAAATTTCTCCTATACAGTAAATAAGTGTGCACCGTAAGTATACATTAGTATTGAATTTCTATAGAGTATATACTAATAATGACATTATTACCTTAACAAAATCCAACGCCTGATTTTTGTTACTATAAGGCATTTCGCTCCATGACTCATAATTGATCGGTAGCAGATTCGCATTACGTCCAACTATGCCTAAGAAACCTGCTAGAAGACGTACTTCTGGGCCAATATGTTGACCGACATTGTTTCTT